TCAATAAGCCACTACGATTCTGAATGGAAGTAGAATGCGTGCCGCATCCCAAAAAAGAGTTTGATCTACAGCGAAGAATCATCACTTATCAACGTGGCTTATCTTATCGTCCGTATCAGTCCCCGAAAAGGGTGCGCCTGGATGCTCCACCCCCCCCCCTTCCGTAGGCTATCAGCACCGGAATTGCTGAGGGGGTTCGGGTCTGACGTAATTTGTTTTTATTTTGCAAAACTTTTCTCCAACGGCAGAACACATCTTACTGCGTTGTTATTAGGGCAGCACGTGTCCGGACAATAACTCAGTGTAAAGCACTTCCGGGAGAGAACTCTGCAATAGCGTGGTGGTGGCGTACAATAGGAGCTTCAGCGACCAAATACCACCCAGCGGGGATAGCTAGGGGAGCTTGTCACAATTTGAGAAAATGTTTCCGGTTGTTGACTTTTCTCGGTTTTTCTGTTTCCGAGTGCGCTACATGCCCCCGCACGACGGCAAATTTCTGGGGAAAATTGGAGAAACTTATTTCAAAAATCTTTGCAAAAGTTGGAAAATTGGGAGAGTAGGGAGATGGTAGAGGGGGTCGTACCAGAGCAGGGATTTTGGTGCTGTTCGGCTAGAGAGGATGGTGTCATCTGTGTGCATTCCTTTCGAGAATCGATACGCACGATAAGATAAGCCACTTTGATACACTGATGGTACCTTTCATTTTTTACGGTGAAGAATGCACCTAGAGGTCTCCCCTGCTTCGGAGCATAAAGACGCACTCTTTTCGAGGACTGATACGATAAGATAAGCCACGTTGATAAGTGATGAGTTCTTCGCTGTAGTCAAACTCTTTTTTGGGATGCGGCTCGCACTCTACATCCATTCAGAATCGTAGTGACTTAGGCGAAAGCCGGAACTTCTGAGTGGGTTCGTGTCTGACGTAATTTGTTTTTATTTTGCGAGAATATTTCCCAACAGCTGAACACATCAAATTGTGTTGTTACCAGGGCAGAACGCCTTGATAACAACTCACTTTGATGATTTGCGATTT